TAGGATGGAAAAAAATATTACTAATTCCAATAGCCAATGACATTACCAAAGTGTTCCAAACCTTTTTTTGTTAAATCAAACAACATTTCAATAGCTAATGATAACATTTTTCTTCTGATAACTAAGAGAAATTCATATATGGCTCTAAATCTTCCCATGACTTGGTGAAAAAAAGGTTTTTGGAGCATCAAAATACGAGCTGCTGAAACACATGAACTGTTCCAACACGTGGAATAAAATGAGATTGGATTCTTATTGAATTAGAAAACCCATTATGAGAGAAGTTATAAGCCCACAATGTAAGGGTTTCGTAGTAATAGTATAAAAGACAAGAGGCGTTGACAAAAAGAGTCACGCGCCTAAGGTTTATTGTGAGAGGCACATGTGTATGTAGAATCGTCCCACCATGCTGATGGTGGTTGTCTATGAAAATTGCAATCATTGAGAAGATGGTGATACATTGATGTTGTTGGTTGGTAGTCAAACATGCGTGCTTGTCTTCGTATAGTTTGTCCACTGGACTAAATGAGTTTAATCACTAACTCACGACATTCGATGGTAACTAATGATAACATGCCACATGATGTTGAATATATTGAACACAATTGAATCCACGTAAAATTCAACACATTTTTCAAAATTCTATTTTTTTTTTTTTTGGGGCAAACGTTTTATATTATCAAAGCCCAGTGGGCTACGTACATGAGTACACAAGATGAGAAAACCTTACAAGCCCAACACTAAGTAAAGCATAATAATACAAGCATAACCTAAAACACGTGTCGGCTGTTGATGGCAATGTGGGCTACGTGGCAACTGGCAAGCATGCGAGGAAGACAGAGACTCAACCGCCGATCTGCTTCTCTTTCACCGCGGCAACTTCCGACGAAGCTTGGCAACACCACCACCGCAAAGATTCATTGCTCATCTTGGACCATGGAAGATCCGTTCCTCTATCATCACCGAGACCCCTTGGACGGGAAACCGCTTCCACCGAAAGTCAAAACCAGAGAATACCAAATAGAATTAATAACTTTGCAAGATGCATAATATCTTCACTAGTACAGATGCATTATCATACAATGAATTAAAAACAAACTAAAGTTGAGAATTTTTTTGAGCAACTTTAGCCTTTAATTAGGTTTCTTTACTATATCCTCTTGAATATATTCCCTTATGCTAACCCTTTTCCTTGGTTGGTTGGGTTGCTTTAATGTGAGTGGGCACTTGACACTAATGATGTTTTCTATTAAATTATGTCTTCTAAACCTTATTTTCTGGTGAGTTTGGGACACCTAAAGGCTAAAGCCAAGGCACATTTTGTTCTAAATAATATACTTTCTCAAATATATTTTCTTTTCTTTTTTTTTGTTTGGGTCAACACTCAAATACATTTTCTATACACATATTTTTCACTTTCTTAATAGAATTTATCATTTCATTAAATTAAGAAATTTTGTTTATTCAAGTCATCTAATGTTGTAAACCATCTTGGTTTTAATCTAAAATGTATAAACACACAGTACACACTCGACCAAAAGCATCTATGCGCGCGATTAAACAAAAAGTGAAAAACTAAATATTATTCCTCTTAGCATACACACAGTTACATTGTCACACTCAATTCATATATACTTTCATACTTCTCTCTCTCTGCTTCTTACTCCAAACATCTATAGCAAATGAGTTTGCAACG